TCTCTGATTCTTCATAATTCCTCAAACTATTGATATAGAGTAGTCTACGCTGGTTCTGTAATTTTGGAACTATTCGAGCAAAGATCTAGCTTCCTGATGCCTAATCGATTATTGAGCTGAGCCTTCTCGACTCAGACGAGGACTACATATCATATCTATATGAATTGGACTTAGTGTTGCGACTATTTCAAATAATTATTAAACAAAAATAAACAATCTTCCTCTATTCTTTGTGTAGCGTTTGAGCAAAAAGACGCAATGAGGAAGCTGTCATTATGTACAAAAGAATTGCAATCATCAGTAGAGAAAAGACATGATTTGCAATAGACTGTCTGTGTCGTGGCTTACCCTATAGTAACAGCATGGAAAGCTTCTCTAATTTGAAGATGGTCCGATTGCCAAAATGTTTTGCTAAAATTTCTTCAAGTAAGCGTTTAATTACTTCCTTGCTACAATACCACCTATGTAGTTTTTTTTTCCAGTTTATTTTACCTGTATGTTGACTTTCAAGTTTTTAGTTGCTTCAGTTAGTTTGCTTTTATTGAAATTCTGGAGTTGGTTCTTACAAAATGTTTTCTACCTTTTTGGGGAAAGTGTTTTCAAAAAGAGGGTTTTCAATTATTAAGCCTCTAACTATACTTTAAGATTGTTCATACTGCCAATATTGAGGCTCTATAAATGGGTGTAAAATATTCATTTATAGTGAGTAAGAGCACAGTAGCTGACACCGTGATTAATAAGACGATCTGAATGAGCTTAACGAAATCGAAAATCAGATTCGGGCATCCACGCCATTTTACCCATTATCACAGGTTAAGGTGAATGCAATGGCCGGTATACAATTGCTTTACAGAGCTAGAAGAAGCTAGATTTAGACATGCTTACAACTAATGGATTAAATCGAAGAAAGGGTGCCCATAAAGACACTTGCTCATGAGAACTTAGAACTCACAACAAATTCAAGAAGATTGAAAAGTTGATTTTATTGGGCTGCGTCATTAGCTCAGTATTTCTTTGCATTTTTTGTGCTTTGTCTCTTAGCAAGGTTACAAGTGCAAATATTGGAATACACGACACCGAACTGCCTTTAGTATAGCAAAAAGGTATCTTCACCAGGTGAGCTGATAAGCGCACATACGTTTCCGATTAAAACAGAAGAATCAGTCCCCTGAGCAAATTTTACTTTTGCTTTGCAGCTTTCACAGAATTTAAGGGCATCTGCAATTTGCTTGCATGTTGCAAGAAATTAAAAAATATTTCCATTGCGATTT